CCTGCTAAGCTACACTTGTATAAGGACAAGACAAAATGGACAAACAGAAGGGACATTATGAATAAAGCACCACCTAAGTCAGAACTTTTGAAACAGAATAGCTTTACTTGGACATTTCTGAGTTCCTGCTATAAAATCAACTGGGTAAGATTTGGATATGAATGAAGATTGCTGTAAAATAAGTCTTTATATTATGACTAGAATGGGTATCAGTATGAATGGAATTTATTCTCAGATTTAGACTGGAGAACAAATGCTAATAATAGGAGGAGGAAGCCCTCATTCAAAATTATAGCTGACAGACTTTTTCCTAAGATGAATAAATGGCAAAAAGAATACAAGTATAGTTTTATCCACTAGGGAATATACTGCAGGAGAGCTAATAGGAAAACTTGGATATGACTTGGAGTTAATTCTATTTAAATCACTCAGAAAGATAAATGGAATATGTTTGCAAGTAAGATTCACAATTCTAAAATAGAAAACTTTGATATGCTATTGAACCTAGGTGGTCCATTGAACTGGCCAGTCCAACAACCACAGTTTTCTGAAATCCATTTAAAAAAATAATTGTAAAAGTATCTGAAATGTAAAGCAAGGCAATGAAAAAAACTCTCAGAAACTCCATAACTAATAGAATAATTGCCTTAAAGGGAGAGTCCATTAAACAGTAACTGTAGCTTACATACCCAGTCTCCAGAATTTACCTACAGTCAATTAGCAAGTTAGGATTCTATATAGCAGTCAGCAGCTAGACCTGAACCAAACCTAAGTCATTTCCTGCTCTTGAGGTCTTGTGTTTAGCATATTTGGGCCTTGCTTTGTTAATCTGAAAGTACCTTTTGTCATAAAGTGCTATGCCTTGAAGCCTGTCCCTGGTTTTGAAGGATAACTCATTTTTGTGGAAATCTGTTTCTCTACCTTTGGCACTGGAAACACCATGTTCTCAGAAGGGACCAGCTCAGACTAGTTTCAAAACAAGTGCACCTTGACTGGTTGGAATATAATTAGTATCTTAAGCATTCCCAAGGATTACATTCAAAGCTTGGGCATTACTCACAGCAATTAAGTTGCACCAAGTAAGTCTCATAGTTTTAGCTTTAACACTCAATGAGTGATTTAAAAACACATGTATTTTACATTGTCCTGGCTTTCCATATGGTCAGATATATATAAAGCACAACACTTTAGTGCAAACAAAAGCTTTAAAAAAAAAAAAATCAATCAGTATGTTCAAAGAATTTATTTTTTCCAAATGAACCGAGATACAGTAACTCAACATTCACTTTTAATGAAGCCCCATTGCACCGTGACAAATGTGCAGCCTACAGTATCTTAAATGAATCATAATATGGCTTACATCTTTAATGCCTGATCACAGAGCCAGAGGAGTTCAAAGAGCCCTTACTAAAACCATCAGTGGAAACGCTGGTTGCACAAGGCACTGAAGTACCTACTTTGTAGCCAGAAGTAATTACGCTGCTCTGCTAATCTCTGCTGCAGAAACTCAATCTAGCAGACACAGATCACATCTAGCAGATAAGGGCTCCATGCGAGGCACAGAGGCTGCTGCTTTTCTTGAAAACACGCACAGCATTTTTGTGTGATGGTGCAACACACATGCATAACACCCTTTGGAATAAAAATTGTCAGTGTTGGGAATACATACTGATGAGAAGGAATAACTCTACTTCCTTCCTTCCTCTGCTTGAGAGACTGCAAATCTACACCTTGAGATCACGCCACATCTATGAGGTCTCTGACTTTTACAAGCACAGGAACCTCAGGTGTAAGAATCCATTATTATGAGGCTGAGCACACAGTTGCCTCTGTGGATCTCCCTTTTATTCCCCACTCTTCTTAAAATAATGATGGAACGAGACAGGATCTTGAACCTTCAGCTGAACTACACAATACATCTCACTTAAAAGGCTGTGAGGTAATGCTGTTGAGCTATAGCAAAGCAGTAGGAAATATTTCAGGCAGATAGCATTCATGACTGATAACCATGGGACACAGATTTAAACCGGGAAGCACACACGGAGCTCGTGTTTCCAGACTTTCACAGCACTAGATCAAAGTAAACAAGTGCAATCTGCACCTTCACATAAAATAAATGACACTGTACAGTTCAAACAATGGCACAAGGTCTTACTGAAATGACTGCTATCTGCCTTCAAACCAGAAAGGAACAAAAGCACAGGCAAGAGGGAAAATATAGGAAAAAATATAACACAGAATTATGTACCTTACTTTTTCTCATATCCTCAAACAGCCAAACTACTTGTTACAGCTTACCCAAGTGACTCCAAGCCTCAGCTAGAATGCTTACATTTTATTCAGGTGGTTACTGTCTGGCACACACAGCAGCCTCAAAACATAGAAGTTGCTGCCAGCAAAGTCAGGAGGAAAATTGTCAGTCTTTGTATGACCACAAAAAAAAAAAAATGCACATGCCAATATAAATTATACAAAACCTCAAATTGTAAGTGTGGAAAGTAATTTTGGAACATCAGGATGAAACAGTTGGAAGAATTTTACAGCTCCCTTTTGAATTTTTCATTATGGTCATACATTTTACCTTCTTGTCTCTGGGTATACTTTTGCTTTTTGACCAAAATAACAATTGTGCACGTTAGCAAGGTGAAAAGTTTCCAGTCTCTCCCAGACGCTCCTATTCACAAGGGTGTTTGGTCCTCATTAATTTAAACCTCCAATCACCTATAGAAAAAACAATTCAGAATACCTAGCATTCTAAGTGCCCAGATACAATAAGGAGTAATTATAGTACAGCATAAAGTACTTCACATTTATTCTGTGCTGTGCACACGAAGGCTTGCTTGCAATCCTTCCAACATGAAGTTCTTTTACCCAGTCAGTTCATCCACTGGCTCACATCTGCATTAACGACACCAAAGCCATACTCCAGGAATATCTGTGCATATGAAAAACAGCAAAAACCTTTTTCTGTCAATACCCTCACGTACAGGATAAGCACTTCCATCACTGTTACCACCTGTATTAGCTAGACTCAAGGGAGCATAAGGCAAACAGAGCCTCCTAGCTAAAATGAAACTTTCACATCTTTCAACAACATGGAAATAAGAATTTTTTTTTTCTTATGGAAAATTAATTGCACCATATTCCTGTCTAATGGAACATTGCTGTAATAACTACAGGAGTGGATTTACTATTTATTGGAAAAAAATACCTAATGATACTACTAAATATATAATTTAAACACATTGCTAGGAAAAAATATCAAGTGAGAATATTTCAAAACCCTTCCTTTTTCATGTCTGAGCACAGTGCCATTCTACAGCATAAGAGGTTTTACTTTTTAAGACTCAATCTAATTCTTCAGAACCAAAATTCTGAACACTGCAGTAGTGCAACAGACGTAATGCTGCATTAAGAGCTGTAGTGCATCAAACACTTCACCTATCCCACTGCCCATCCAACCTGCTCCAAAGTGCTACTGTTGCATAAGGATCCCGGGCAATCCCCTCAGTTTATATGCTAACGCTGTTAGGGAAAGAATATTCTCTATTTTAGCGTGAGTCTTTTGCAAGGATTAAAGGCATTTCACTGCCTTTCCTGTGTCATCCAAACTGGAATGACGTTATTGCATATAAGGTTCAGGTACTCCATACATTCTAACAACATTATATCATATCACAGAAATTAAACCACATTCTCAGGAAACAGAAAACAACAGCTACTTTGAAGCTGAAGGTACTTTTAAATGCTAACCTTAAGGGACATAACAATCTATACTTCCAAACAGGAACATAAGGTAAAAAACTCATGCTATTGCCAAGCAGAAGACAGAAAAATCAGATTATCTACCTTGGGTTTACCACCTTTTTGTTTCAATGGACAGTCTTAGGTGCTGTCAATTTTTTACAAGTGACTTCAAAATGACAAGGGGCAGGAGATGGTATTTGTAGAAATACACAGGAGTTAGATTTTTCCATATTACTAAAAGAGTGCTTAGTGTTAACTTTCTTTGCACAAATTAAAATCCAAATAATAGGAAAAAAAATCTCGAATACAGCAAAACAATAGTCACTTTTTAACTTTAAGACAGCGTACTTAATTTCTGGTTTCTGCTGCAAATTTACTTTAATACACATCTCCTAATTATAAAAGCTTTCCTTCCCATGTCTCCATATAGGCCTCAGTGGATTGCTCATACAGCCCTCCCTCAGGGGCACAGTAATCCACTGGCACTGCTCCCACTTTTCCCTCAAGAACCGAGCTCTCTTCTGGAACAAAACACTCCAGAAACCAAATGAGCAGCGAGGAAGAGCTCGATCCACCTGGCAGCACCTTTGCAGTTACCTGCAAGGCTCAGCAGCCTTTTCCTCGGCCACTTCACTGGGGAGAGGGAGGCAGCAGGGGAGGTTTACTAGAGCACGGAGCCTCCCGAAGGCGCCGGCCGTGCGAGGCAGCCGGGGGCCCCCACCCGGGCACGGGGCCGCGACCGCCCGGCGCCTCCGGAGAGCAAGGGGCAGCGCGGGGCGGCCCCGAGCCCGCCCGGGAGGGCAGGTGGAGCTCTGGGCTGCGGCCCCTCCGCCTCCCGCCCGAGTCCGCACCGAGCCGAGCCGCCCCTTCCCGAGCCCGCCCGGCCCCGCCGCTCGCGGGAGCTCCCGTGCCCAGGGCCGGCGGCGACGGGCGCGGCCCGGGAGGGGAGGTGTGGGTGTAAGCACAGCAGCGGGGAGAAGCGGACAGCTCCGCGCGGGCACAGCGGGGGAGTGGGGCGGGGGCTCATTTATATCCCGGGAGCTAATTTGGGAAGCGGGATAACCCGCCCCGCACGACACCTGCCGCCAGCACTCACCCCATCCCGCGGAGAGGCGGCGGCCCCTTTAAGACCGCGGGGGACCCCTCCCTCCGGCCCTCCCGCCCTCCCCCGCCGCGCGCCTCCCGGGCCGCCAATCGGCGGCGGCGACGCAGCCAGGGCTGCGGGCAGCCAATCCGCGCGCCGCTTGGTGACCGCAGGGGAGGCGAGCGGCAAGATGGCGGCGCCGGGAGAGGCAGCGGCCGTGGCGGCTCCCTCACAGCCCGAGATGGCCGCGGGCTCGGCCGCCTCCGCCGTGGTGCTGCCGGAGCGGCTGCAGCGGCGGGAAGCGGAGCGGCAGCAGGGCGTGGAGCGGCAGCGGCAGAAGAAGGAGGCGCAGGTAGTGAAGGAGGAGCAGAGCGAGTTCTTCCTGGCCGCCTTCGCCCGGGAGCGGGAGGCTGTGGAGGCGCTGCTGGCGGCGGGGACGCTGGAGGAGGCGGCCGCCCGCCTGCAGGCGCTGCAGAAGCTGCTGACGGGCAGCGTGCGGTTCCTGGCGCCCTACGAGGTGCGGCAGGGGCAGGAGACCGTGGCGCGGCTGCAGGGGGACCTGGCGGCGCGGCGGCAGCAGCTGCAGCCCAAGAAGAAATTCGCCTTCCGCGCCCTCAAGAAAGAAGCGGCCCCGGGCAGCGCCCCGCGCCCCGCCGAGCCCGCCCCGCCGGACCCCGCCGCGCCCGAGCCGGGCCCCGGCATCGCCGAGGGCGAGTCGGGCGGGCCGCCGCTGTGCGGGTTCAGCGGCGCCCAGGACGCGGAGCTGGAGCTCGGCCCCGCGGAGCTGCTGCAGCGGGACGTGCTGCTGGCGGAGCTGCGCGGCTGCCGGGTGCGGCTCCGCGGCAACCCCAACACGCTGCGGGTGCGCGACTGCAGCGGCTGCACCGTGCTCTGCGGGCCCGTGTCCACCTCCGTGCTGGTGGACGGCTGCAGCGACTGCCTGCTGGCGCTGGCCTGCCAGCAGCTCCGCACCCATCGCACCCGCGACTGCCGCGTCTACGTGCAGGTGACCAGCCGCGCCGTGATCGAGGCCTGCTCCGAGGTCTCCTTCGCCCCCTACTCCTGGAGCTACCCCGGGATCGAGCGAGATTTCGAGTCGTCTGGGCTGGACAGAAACAGTAACAACTGGAACCTGGTGGATGACTTTGACTGGCTGGCGACTGACAGGCCCTCGCCCAACTGGAGCGTGATCCCCGAGCAGGAAAGAATCACTAGCTGGGACTGACTGCGGAGGCAGCTCTGCCGTGCTAGAGATCCTCGTGTAAACGCACTGATCCACAAACTGTGGGACTTAATCCCCGATATACCATTAAATTATTCCATTCTGTATTCAAATTTCGAATTACAATATATGGCTGGGTTTCTTAGTTGAAGCATACCAGTCAAATAGAGTTTACTGTTCTTGCACAAGTTGCTGCTGTAATCTGTATGTATCACTGTGGGACTTGCCAATTTCTGAAGTACCTCATTGTGAGTTAAAACTTATTAAGGTGGGACAAAGGCCACTGATACACAAACCACAATGATCCTCTGTTAGAGCTGTTGTGCTGCTTTCATTCACCTAGGCAGACTGAAAAAGCTGCAAGTAGTGCAAACTGTACTGGAATGAAAAGATCGAATACCAAATTTCCCATGTTTGTGTGGCTCTCATGTTCTGATGGCAGCGCAGTGTCTCTTAGGGGGAGTGCAGGTCAGTACTGATGTGAGGTAATGGGGTGAAAAAAGGTTCATTCAAAGGGAGAGTTTGTAAGTGCACAGTGCAGCAGACTGAGAGGCGTCCTAGGCTATGGTACAACGATGAGCCAGTTTCTGTGGAATTGGTTTAAATCTCTTAGTTGGCTTTAGGCTTTTCTTTCAAGTGAGAGAAATCTAAAGGAAAAAGGTGTTCCAATAAATATCTAATGCTCTCCTAATACACTGATTACTCGAAATTCAGAAACTTATGGAGTCTGTATAAATACTAAAGGTTCACGATCTGTAAATGCCATGTGAAAGGATGCTGCTTCTGTAAGCAGCTGGAGGCATCCAGCAAGTGCTGATGAACATCACAGAAGCTGGGTTAACTGTTCCTCTGCAAGCTGAAGCTTCAGGGCAGAGATGTTCAGGGATGTCCCATTAATTTTCCAGACGGCAGGCTTTGTGTTCTGTGATCCTGATTTGCAGCACTCTGCTGCTGCATGTGTGCAGTGCTGGCAGAGAGAGTCAGTGAAACAGAAAGAAGAGGTGCTATATTCCAATTCCAGATTTGCATGTTGCATAAAGTGCAGAATAATTTAAGTCTCTTCACTCCTGCTAAATAGTAATAAAGTAGCAGCACTGGAATGCAGTGTCTTAACAGTGCCCTGTTAGTGGTGCTGAAGTGACCACTGTCCATATATAAAGTATACATAGCAGTTTAGGTTTCTAACACCCCTCCTTAACTTGTGACATTTTTCAATAAATAATTGTTTATCTTGCCTTAGCATAAAGCTTTATTGTAAAACTTAAAATTCTTTATGCTGTGCAGCCATCATCTATGTGCCTCTAACAGACACTAAATCCTAGCTGAACTATCAAGAACTGCATCACTCACAGGAGAAGTACCTGAAACTTCACTTAGGTGCTTGTCTGGTCTTTAGCAGAAAATGTTTTTCTATAAGTTGTTTTCATCATATTTAATTTAAAGGGGGAGGGCAAAAGGGATTTTTTTTAATATTCCTGACAATTTTCAGTTTTGTTTACTTCTGTTAATGTATATTTTTTGACTGAATTGGATTTTGCATTTCAAATATACTTGTTTTGAATTATTTTAGTTGTTCCTTTACTGGTGAGTCTTCTTTGCACTGACAGCATAAAATGATTTAAAGAATACACCCTCAGTCTTACTTTAATGTAATCATTTATATCCTTTGTAGAGGGATGTGATCAGTTGTGGCTGTCAAGTTATTTTAACACGTCCATCTTGGTACAGAATCTGATTTTGTAGTTAATTGTTCTCCAGATCAATCCTGTTAGCATCCTCTAGCCTTGAGATTGCAAAATGTTCAGCCTGCAAGAATTACAGTAATGCCTTTGTTCTGCTTGCCCCAAGCTCTGAACATTGACACCTCCTTCCTGTGGTGATGGATCCTGGCAGATCCAGACCGGGAAAGAGACCCCAGGCAGTACCAGGGGTGCACTGAGGCTTCCCAGCCTTCCTCCCATGGAAGTGCCATGTCCTGTTCCAGCTCCTGCCATGGCATGCAGTTCTGCCTGAATAAACAACAGGAGTCAAAACATGGAAGCTTGAACTTCAGTTTCTCTCTGAAATTACTTCCTTGGGGATGTTTTTCACAAACCAGTTATTGACATCCCAGCTCCTACTGTTTTCTTTGCTCCAAACACTTGACTTTGGTCAAACCACAGTTGGCAGGTAATAGTTTTCAGGAACTTGGTGCCAGACAATTACCCTAAAGATTTGGCATTACCTTTGTAATACAGAACACATAACTGGCTCTTGCTCAGGCATGGTGTGAAATGAGATTCAATAAGTCCAGAAAAATTTGGTCAGGCAATTACCTAAATGTGATTTATAGTTCTAAACATACAATCTCATATATATATATAAATGTATATACATATACACACACACACAGAGTTGCACATGTTTCCATACACTTTTTTTGAATTGTACTTCCCTGATGTAGAATCATAACAGAAATTCAAGACTGTTTTGAAACAACAGTCTGTTAATGCTGTATGAGAATTTAAGCACTAGTAAAAGGTTTACTAGCATGCTCATGGGCTATTCAGTATAGAAATTGCAACTTTTTTGGGTCTCTAAGGAAGAGAAGGCAAACTCCTAAGTATTTCTAATCAGCCAGCAATCACTTACCCTGCATATTGTACAACTGAAGTGAACAATGTCTCTTCAAGAACTCTAGCTCTGGTTTGCATCACAGTGCCACCAGTTCCACCAGGAGCTTGTTTAAAAATAATTTACTTTAAAGAAATTAATGATGCTAGACATCACAAGGGGCTGCAAACAAATGCCTGCTGGAGGCATGGGATAACGGAACATCAGCACCACAAACCTTGTGCAGATTTGCCCTGAAGAGAAGCTACAGGCAGAAAGTTTATCAAAATAGTGAGGGGCACTGAGCTGCAGAAACATGTTCCATGAGGAGTCAGGAAAGCAGTCTTGTGTCAAACATTTTTGAAAGACAGCCTAGTTGGACAGGCCTCCTCCAGCCTGTGGCCTCACCAAAATCTTTAAGGCCAGTGAAAGTTCCTTAGCCCACCACATGGCTGTTACTCAGCGTTGTGAAGCTCCTGTGTGTGTCTGTGGGGGGAACAAAACACTTCTATGCAAAGACACACAACGCTGAGCCCGTGGGAGAAAACTGAGGCTGTTTTCACTCAAAACAGAGCTTTGAGTGTTGCCATTGTTGAGGCTCTGAGGGGTGGCACAGACCAAAAGTTGCATCCAGAGAAGCAGCTGGATCTTTGCTGCTGCTTCCATGGGGCCATCCCCTCACCCAAGGTCTGTCCTGAGAGGGATCAACTCCCTCTGGGTTCCCTTTGGAGTCCAGGCTTTTCCCTCTGTCTGCCCCTGCTTCTCTGAGTCACAGGAACAGAAATGGAGTTACTGCATTCTCTCTTTAGCCAGCTCTCTTTCATTCAAATAGATTCTGATGTGAGCTGTAGTAGAATTGTTTTGTGAAAAAAAAATCAGGTAAGAAATACATGCATAAGACAATTTCCTACACGCTTCTATGCATTATATATTTGGAGGCTTGGATTTTTTTTTTTTTTTGAAGTGTCTTATTTAAGCAATAGCTGCTTGTAGACAAGGTTAAAATCTCAGTGATTTTACCTGGAATTGTTTCAGGTTTTACTAAACAGCTAATTTCATCACATACAAGGAAAGACAGGAATAGCAAGAAGAAGAATCTATGCAACTTGGGGAAATTTCAGCATTTCCATTCACATCATGACCTGATTTATCTGACTGACTGGGGGATCCACCTGTTGTTCTGAGATGTTTTCCAGCAGTAATGACTATAATGAGCTTTTTGTAAGCTTCTTTTAATTCCCAGCATATTTCTTTCCTGTTTCTGCAAATACAAATTTTGATTTCTAACTCTTATTTTTTCAGCAGTGAATGCTACACCCCAGGCATCACAATAATACAAACAAATACTCATAATAACCATCTTGGAGGTCAAAAAAAAGCTGTGTTTTCTGAGCACATTACACACCACCATATGAATGATGGCTGAAATTCTGGGAATTACCCAGAGCAAAACCACACCAAAACCCCCACAGTGTGCCCCAGCAAAGTGCAGGAGCCACAGAGTACAGCAGGTCATGTCACTCTTCCCAGGATTTAGAACAATCCCAGCAGTGAATTTAGAACTTGCCTCTGTTTCCAGCCTCAGAACCTGCAGTCACCTCACATGGCGCAAAAATAGTAGCCTACCAAGTTTCCTGTGTAAGGAGGTAAAAAGAAAGTCATAAATCAGACTTTTCTCCCCCTGATAATTGTACAGTGAGGTACAGCATTTTTATCACATTGTTCCTCGAGAGTGTCCCTGTTCACACCACCGAGTTACAATTGAAAGCAAAGCCATAGGTGAGGGTACATGAGCAAACCTCTCTACACAATAGCTTCCCATCAAAGGTAAAGCTAGACATCATTATTCCTGCAGTGAAATATAGCCACTCTTAGGGAAAGGAGAAAAAAAGCCTCAGAAAGGCACACATTTCATATCACAGAGCAGTGTGAAAGAAAGATTGAGCCAGGAAATTATTCTTTTTACCGAGGGCACTTCCACAGTTTAGGCATGTATGTATTTTATATCTTACACCCCTGAAGATGGAAAGACTAAGATTGGTCCAGGGCCGAGCACCAGACTGTTTAACAAACACCAGATTAAATTGTTTATGTTCCTCTCTCTTAACTGATAAATTTGTACCCTATATGTAGGTTAGCAGGCATAGCTTTTTGAAAAGGTATCAATATTGTATTGGTCTACATACATATTATAATTTTTAACTAGATTTTGTATTTGAACAGATTCATGGTGAGATCAATAATAATTTGAATATTTTATTCTACCATTTTTTCTCCAATATTGGCATATGAATTATACAGTTGAATTTAATAGACAACCTCTGAGGAGACCATTAACTCAAACATTCTTGCAGTAATTAGCTTTTATCTGCTATGGATCAATTTCAGCATACTCTATTTGAAGAGGCAGTAAGTGCCAAACTAAAGACGAATAGCAGCCAAGAAAAAGCTTTTCAAGAAAAGCAGAAAAGCAGATGCCAGGCAAAAAAAGCTTTCTTTTTTAAACTATCCCCACCCTGAAACGCTTCTCGATGATCTCCCATCACCTTCATCTCCTCCAGGCTGCTCTGCCAGAGACAGCCCTTGGCTGCCCGGTTTGTGCCGATGCTTGCACAGGGGTTTGTCTGCTCCAGGCCTGGGACAATATGGAATCATTCATTCCCACTTAAAAAGTGTTACCCAATCCCCTTTAAAACCCCCAAGCAGGGCAAGTCAAGTTGATGGGTGGGGTAGTTTTTGCCACTTGAAGTCCCCAGCTGGTATCAAGCTGTTGAAAACTACTTAAATAAACAGCGCTTTTCCTGATCCACATTGTTCTGGTGGTGCTGACTGCTATCCCTGATGACTTTAGAGGGACCACCCGAAGTCTCAAAGGTCTAATTAGTAGGTGAGCGTCCCTTCCTGAACATCAGGTCCAGGATTTTTCCTGATCATCTCCCAGCTAACAATTTAGCAGTGATTTATGAGAACCTCTCCTGTTTCCTTTGTTTATAGGCAGAAAAGTCAATCTGGAGGGATCAGTGAGCCCTGAAGCACGTCCTGCATGTTCTACTTCACTACTTTGATTCCTGAATTACAGGAAACACCGTAGTGTATACACTTCCATGATTTTGCTGCATCAGATTTATCATGGGTATCTAAATGTTAAATTATTAAGCTGACAGTTATTCAGATTCACCTGTGCTCCTGAATACAAAATTACCCATATCCAGAGCAGCACCAGGCTTTCATCTGCTGTGGGCAGGAAGTATTTCACTGTATATCCTCATGACCTGCAGATCTGGTGCAGAATTCTTTTCCACTTTAATTACAGTTTCACTGTCATCACTGACAAGAAAGGAAATGGTTTCAAGTTCCTTTATCCAGAATTAACTCCAGGCTGTCAGATAAATACATTTTCCAAACTCAAGTCTCTTAGCCGAGCCCCAAAAGGGTCAGTGAAACACAACATGTGCTACAATGGTTGTGGGATATTTTGCCAGGAGAGATGCTATTTCAGAGCTATTTCTTATTGTACAAAAACATGAATAGGCTCTCTCAAGAAACAGCACTTCTCATCCTCTTCACGGCAAGAGGAGAGAATAGTCGCTGATGGATAATCACCTTCCCTCTCATTTTACACACTCACTCTTCGCCAGCGAGGGCAGCAGCAATGCAAACCACCAGGCTTGCTTTAGAAAAATCCCAGTGACCAGCTGCTCTCCAGCTCAGCGCAATAGCGCCAGGATGGGCTGGGAAAGGTCCACCACAAACACCTTCTATTAGGACAGGAGGAAATTGTGAGTTGCCAGCCTTTGTCCTTCCTGAAGGAACCCTCAGCCTTCCAGGATCTCAAATGGTAACTGAGAAGCATCCACAGTACCACGGAGCTGCTGACCATCAAAACGTTATTTTTTTCAGTGCTTGGGCTTTTTAATTATTTGTGTTATTATTTCTCACACTTGGGGTCATCCTGGCACTCTCCTTCCCCTCGGTGTCGCCGGGGGCTGGTAGCCATGCTGCTGGCAGCCACTAGAGGATGCCCCCAGGGACGCGGGTGGTGACAGCAGCAGGTCTGGTTGGCAGGCAGGAGAGAATCCTCCCAGTCCTGCCTTCACACACCTGCAGGGATATTTTCCATTGCTGGGGGTAGCCTGAGGTTAATTTTGCGCTGTGATGACAGGGGCGAGGCAGTGCAGGAGTTTCCCAGCAGCTTCAAAGCCCTACGGGGCGAGTGGGAGATGATGTTTCAAAGCAAGCAGAGCTCCTGGAGCAGTGGGGCGGGTGGAAGAAGCCGGGCACCGCGGAGTGCCGCAAGGAGGAGGCGGCAGCCGCAGGAGGGCTCGGACCCTCTCTGTGCCCCCCAGCACAGCCGGCTGCAGGTCTGCAGGTCCTTCTGCAGAGCCGGAGCACCCCCGGGATGCCCCCCGTGCCCTCAGATACAGCATCCCCAGGGTCCCTCTCCATGAGGTGGATTCCTCCCTGATGGAAGCTCCCGGGTGGGTCTCCTTGGGCAGCCCTGCTCCCCTCCCCGGCCCGGTGGTTATCCAGTAAGCTGCTCATGCCAGCTCACTTTTTATGAAAGCACCTCTAGATTTCAGCCCGGGGTTTATTTGTTAAATTTCTCTGCACTTTTCCTTTCTCCTGCTCTCCTGAGATGGTGCAAGCCTTGGAAGTAAATAGAAAATGCCAAGCTTCGTTTTTTTAGGTCACCGTAAACTACACGCTTATCTCCTTTCAGAATACTTAAGCCACAGGATGTCATCTCAAGCCAGCACAGAAGGATAAGGACTCAAACGTAGGTCTGGCTGTAGATATGAATATGTTGGGATCACAGTGAGGAAGTGTATGTTTGTATACAACAGCCTTTTTAAATCCAGAGCCTTCTTCCTTTTTCCTCAAAGGTTCCATATTCTTCTGGCAACAAAGATCTTTTTATATCTCTGGCGTTTCATATTCCACCCAACAGCCTATCGTAGGAGAGCACAAATCTACTAAATAGTAAAATGAGGGATTACTTCCACTCATCTGTTGACAGACATTTCTCCAAATTGGATCAAATGATTAAAGGTATTAGAATGACGTCTTGCAGATCCAGATCAAATCATTTGAAACCTTGAGAGTGTTTCTCCTTTGCTTGGAAGAAACCACCAGAAATAGCTGTAGGTGCTAATTGTCCATTATTCTCACCAATGTGAAATTGTTAATTGGGACCTTTAAATATTTTACTCACTTGAATCCTAACCAGAGGTCTTCAAGATGGAAGGACTGTGCAGCGGCTTGCTTCCCGACGCGCCCTTCGGGATCTCTTCCGACGCCTGAATGGTTCTTCCTCGAGTTGCTTACACTGAGAAGAGGGGTCCAGGCTGTGAAGTCTTCCAACATCTCCCACTACAAAGATGGCACTGCTGAAAGTCAAATTCAATCAGAAGAAACGGGTAAAGCTAGCACAGGGACTATGGCTCATGAACTGGTTTTCGGTGTTTGCTGGAATCCTTGTTTTTAGCATGGGATTGTTCCTCAAAATTGAGCTCCGGAAGCGAAGCGAGGTGATGGACAATTCTGAAAGCCACTTTGTGCCCAATTCTTTGATATTGATGGGTATATTATCCTGCGCCTTCAATGGTTTTGCTGGAAAAATTTGTTACGACTCTCTGGATCCCGCTAAATTTGCCAAGTGGAAGCCTTTGCTGAAACCTTACCTGGCTCTGTGCTGTGTCTTTAACATGCTCCTTTTCTTCGTGGCTCTGATTTGCTTTCTCATGCGGGGCTCCCTGGAGAGCACGCTGGCCCAGGGGCTGAAGAACGGCATGAAGTTCTACCGGGACACGGACACCCCCGGGAGGTGCTTCATGAAGAAGACCATCGACATGCTCCAGATTGAGTTCAAGTGCTGCGGCAACAACGGCTACAAAGATTGGTTCGAAATCCAATGGATCAGCAACAGATATCTGGACTTCAGCTCCAAAGAAGTGAAAGAGTAAGTGACTCGCTGGGGTTTGTGTCACGTAGTGTCCATGTTTGGTCAGTGCTGGCCTCGAGTGCCAACAGGCGCTGGCTGGAAGGGGGTCTGTGTAAAATGGGGTCTTGTGTCATAAATCGTCCCAAATGACAGCTGGATTGCTTCCTCCCCTCACAAATTCCTCCAAAGTCATCCATAACATAAAATAAAAAGTACCAAGCTACAGTTCCCACTCGTACTCAGACAGGCTAAATAGTTTTTACTGTCTTCTACTGCTTTATAAACCCATTACCTTGAGCCACACTCCCAAAATCAACAGGAAAGTAGCAGAACTTTACTGATCCTTAAGCAGATGTCAATGTGATTGATTAATTTCCTAAAAAAAGAATTCCCTGGAGATATACTGTTGATACCACTTTTAAAACTCCACTCAGATATTGGCAGCTAATCATGGATGGAAATAAATAGAGGCAAAAACACTTTGCCAATAACTCTTGTCTTTTAGATCCTTAAGATTTAGAATTTTATTTTGTATTCACTCAATGGACTGCTTCAGTGCTGTGATAATACCGAGCATCAATTGATGTTCTTAGCTTTACAAAGTGGCCCTTGTAGCCATATGTATTTTAAGTTCTGTCCTGTGCCTAATTTTTTGAAACCTCACATGAAAGCAGCACTAGTTTATTGTTTCTGTACAAACCAGATCAGGTTGTTGACCAGAAACACCTTAATGGCTTTGATGTCAGTGCCCAAAGAGGCAGTAATCCTAAAATCAGGTTAGGTGCAGTAAGCTCAAGCAGAAAATAAGCATGAGAACAAAATGAACTTTTGAAATTAAAAAGTGGCATTAGGCATAAATACCCACAACTTTTAAAAAATTAAGCACTGGGGAAAGAAATGGTTATTCCGGGTTCTTTGGGAACATCATTTGTCAACATTTATGCTCTGTGGTTGCATAATGGGTCCTGTAAACTGGAAGCAATCTGCCTTTTAAATATACTGCCGTATTAAAAATGTCTGAAGTAATTTTGAAAAAAAGCTTTGTGTATCTCTTGGGATCCCTGCCTGACTGTGTAAATGGTGTTTATCTCGTGTGTGTCTCTCTGTGTGTTCCTTTGACTTGTTGGGTGGTCTGGTTGTTTTTGCAGTTCTGAATGAGGACTTTTTTTTAGTGGAAACTGTTACAGATTTAACCCGTTGCACTGCAGGGTGTTATAACAAATACATTCACTATTGGATAAGGGGATGTTCCCATTGCAAAGGTATGCCCATGGGTATAAATAACTGCTTGAAAAAACCTCGCCAGCATTATATGGAGATTTGAGAGCTGTAGCTTAATCCAGCAGCAGTGGAAGGGCAAGGCACAGGGGGAAAACGGGGTTATAGTGTCCTTAATAACTCATGCCTTGTTTGGGACTGAGACTCAAGGTAATTTCTTTGTACTACTGAGGCAGGAACTAGGGCATTAAAAATCTACAGATGGGTTTTAGTGAGTTCAAGGTTTGTACTACGTGGTGGTGCACAATCTCTGCTCCCATTCCTGGTGGGATAGTCTGGCCCCTTTGAAGCCAATGGTGAAGTTCTCCGTAGTTCCAAGGAAGGTGGGAGTCTGTCCCTCACAGTGGGATTTTTATATTATTTGTAGAGCAAAGGCCTGATCCAATATCCAATCTCTCTGAAACTGGTGGAGCATTTACACATGAATGGGAATTAGACCCAATCCAGAGCACACTTTACGTTTAGAGAGAAAACCTCAGCTGCATTTGCTCTTTAGATATATTTAGGTCATGATTGCAAAGTGGAATTTCCCTTCACCAGGTTGTTGGAATCACTTCTCTCTCTATGACACAATTTAAAAATATCCATATAGAAAGCTACAAGGGACACTCAGATTTTTTTTCGCCTCTCTACACCACTGAGACTCTCCATTCTGTGATTTTCTAAGAAAATGGCCTGTTTTAAAACTGCAGTCCTTTTATTATAGTCTTTCTGCAGAGTCAGTGGAACTATTTGCCTTCCAAGTTATCTTGCCTCTAAACATCTCCTAAGACACCAGGCTAAATGACTGTTAACAGAGAACAACCACAGTGTCAGATGAACAATAGCTGGGGGAGCTCCTGCAAGGACTTTGGAAATTTTGAAATTTTGCAACATCCTGTTGCTGAAGCACATTTCATGTTTTCAATACTGGCTACCTTCCCACGCCAAGAATAAATGCACAACCCCTCCTTGGAGATGTTATCATCAAAAAGAAGCTATTAGGTTTGCTGGATCAATAGATATAGAGTGGCTTCCAAGGCTGCTCTGGGTTCTTTTCCAAGTTCAGGTCAGCTCCAGCACCTCTCTTCCATCCTGACTATGCTGTGATTGCTCTTTTCTGACTGAGTTCTCTCATCATTCACTTTTGTTAAAAATTAATTTCTTTGAAGAAGTGACCCAAGGGCGTGCATTTCCACCAGGAGGAGTTAATTACAGACTCAGTGTAGCCCTGACATAGAAAAGGAGAGAAAGGACAGAGAGAGAGAGGACACCCTGGACAAACACCGCTACGTGAACAGGGGGACATGGAGAAAAGGCATGGTGGAAAATCCTCCTTGCCTTTGCTTTCTGTCCTCGTGCAGATTTGCTCCTGGGTATCTGTGTGTGTCTGTGTGTGTGTCTATGTGTATGTCTGTGTCTGTGTGTATGTCTGTGTGTGTGTGTGCACTCATGCTCCCTTCTGCCCTTGCCCATAGCCGGATCAAAAGCAACGTGGACGGGCGGTACCTGGTGGATGGAGTCCCCTTCAGCTGCTGCAACCCCAGCTCCCCCAGGCCCTGCATCCAGTACCAGGTCACCAACAACTCTGCCCACTACAGCTACGACTACCAGACCGAGGAGCTCAACCTGTGGCGCCGCGGCTGCCGGGAAGCGCTGCTCAGCTACTACAGCAGCATGATGAGCTCCATGGGCGCCGTCATCCTCCTCGTGTGGCTCTTCGAGGTACCCCTTCCCCTCACACACACTGCAGTCCAGTGCCAGCTCTGCAGGAGCAGGGGGCTTTTCTGAGTGAAAATCAAATCCCCATTGTTTGGCTGAGAAAATATCTGATAGCTGAGTAAGGGCTGAAAGGTCCCAGGCTGGAAACAGAGGTGGAGGGGGTGTGGGATCAGATCCCTCTTAGCAGGGGCCAGAGCCTCCAGTATCCCACAGCAAAAGAGGGAAAAGGGAGTGATCTTCTGTCCAAGGCAAGGTGCTGAGCAGGGAAGAGAGCGCAAGGGCTCTGCTGTCCAGATGCATTAATTTTACATGTGTCACCATTTGTGGGGAATGAGAAATATAAAAAAGCTGCACATCAGAAAGGTGTGACAGTAATTAGTGGGACAAAAAATGCAGTTAAAGGGTTTACACCCTGAAAAAATAAGGCTTTAAGCCACACACAGTGGAGAGATTTCAAGGCAGTGTGTGGACCTTCATCAGCTCCAAGAAAGCATTTGGTCAGAAAAAGTGGTTTAGGTGGAGCAAGTGGATTAAATTAACTTTATTCTGCTTCCCAAAACACGATGCAAATGCAAACAGGTGCCAGCACTGCCCAAGGCAGGTGTCTGTGGGCACCAAAGTGCAGCTTGGCTGATAAAATACTGTTCATCCAATGCAATGAATCCCCTGCCTCTGGGAGATGGCCAGTTCTCCAGCCAGGGTGTTTAATCAACACTAATGCTCGGGGAGCGTGGGCTGGCAGTGGCACGAGGGCTGGAACGTGAGGTGCTGGATGTGGAGATCAGGCAGGAGCTGCTGGTAAAAGGAAGGGTGCAGCTCCCTGGGGTGCAGCAGATCTTTTCCTATCCTTGGAATGGCTGCTGCAAATGGCATTGCCTATTTTAAATGATTCAGCTGCCTTTTAAAAAATTTAGATACATGCAAATTAAAAAAAGATGAGTTACATTTTGATACAAGCACTGGCCTACAGCCTTCCAGGAATGAAGATGCTTTTTAGAAAATAAACACCTACCTAAATCTGTGAACTGAAAAAAAAATCATGAAGTTACTCCATGTTGTGTTGTTTTAAAAATAACTGCTCCAAGCTGCAGGGAAATGTATTACCTCTTTGCTCTGTTATTCTGCTAAGAAAAGAAAGAGAAGGTCTTTATTTTAGCCCAGATTCAAGTGCAGAGCTCTTGAAGGGAGGGGAATTTTAACTGTGTTCAAAAGTCAAAGAAATTCAAAAACTCAGGGGAAAAATGCACAAAAATACCAATGCCAGCTGCAAAAAATCATGACTAGGAACTTGTAACATAGCTCTGCTAACTTGAAAGAGATTAATGACAGTGATATGTTAACATTAATAACAGTGATAAAAATGCAGTATTTTATGCTTAACTCTTCAAAGTACACCTGGGTATTTTTTTCAGCTGTGGCATAATGAGAAATAAGATCTTCTCTTCTTTTCCTTGCTTTTTCCAAAATTGGAGGTGAGACTTTTTTTCAGGCAATCAGAGGACTTGTAGGGCAAAACTTGAAAGAAACAACACGATCCTGGGTTACAATAACTTGCCCTCCTGAGTATTTATTACTTGCATGATATTTTACCATAAAGGGACCAGATTTGGGTTTGAAATTCTCTTTGAAGGGAGGAAGCAAAGCAGGAAACTGACATTAATTTAGTCTCCCTTGAAATATAACAACTTCCTTTAAATTCCAGTCAGGATAGGAAACAATTTTATGCTGAGTAGGAGGGCAGCAGAGGTTCCAGCTCCTGGCCAAGGTAAGTGTGGGTCTGAGCAGGGTGAGCCCAGGGGCAGAGGCTGTGCTGGCTCTGTGCTCCTCATTTCCACTTTGACTGACTTCTGGGAAGGCACAGAAAAGTGGAAAAGCAAAATCCTGGGTTGCTTTGCACCTGCAGCCACCATGGACTCAAACCAGGGGCTTCTCCAACAATGCCCTTCTGGGGGTCATGGACAACTCTTCCAGCTGGGTTATTGGAATTGAGGTGTGGGAAGGGGGAGAGAACATGGAGGGGAAATACTAATGACAGCTGTTATTCTGAGCTGTAGAAAAAGGTAACATGCCAAACAGGCACAGGGACCTTAGGGAGGGCATTTCTGTTTCATCTCTCTATACTAGGCACAAGGAAGGATGAACCTGTGTTTTGAAACATCAAAACTTCTGTTTGAAAAGAATGCTAATATCTAGAAGCTGCTCCTCCTAACAAAAGCTGTAGGCTTCCCATGTGTGACAACCAGTCATGAGGGTGACAAAAAAAGATCACACTCTGCTCTGGCTAAGCCGCCTCAGGCTAAACCCTGGCAAGCAGATGGGCTTCGCTGCAGAAGGTCAACAAGAGCAAGCCTGGATGTCTTCTTGACCTGCCTCAGCCAGCAAAGGGGAAAAGAGGGGCTCAAGGGTGCCCTGAATAAGGCATTTCAAAAGGAATAGAGAGCTGAGGCTGGTTCCTGAGATACTCCAGGTCTTCCACTTGTGCAAACATGTGGATATCAATGGGTCCAGCTGCCACAGCAGCCAAGACCCTGGGATTCACTTCTCATGTGCCACAGACTGGGCCCAGGCTGAGCTCCAGGAGAGCACTGAGACATTCACAGGAGGCACATTGCATGTCCTGTGTTGGAGAGCAATCTTTCTGATGCATTAACAGTAGGAGCGAACCCTGGAGATCTCCCAAACCAGCCCACAGGCAGCAGGGGCCCTCCAGAAGGACACAGTTTGCTCTGTTGGCCTAGCTGGAGCAGCTGAGTGTGCTGGGATGCAGGGGATCCACCAGCCCAGCCCTGCAGCCCTGGAGAAACACTGTGGCCATGTTCTTCCAGACACTTTAAAGCTGCTGTAAAGTGACAAGAGTTTCCATGACAGGGAAATCATCCCTCAGCAGGACTGGCCTTGCTCCGGGGCCCTGACCCCACAGCCTTCTGTGCTGGGTTGTGGTTAAGCTCAAACCTACAACTTACCCAAGGCTGGGTAAGGCTGGAGGTTTAGCTGTGGGAAAAAGGATTACATTCCTCAGCCTGCTGGCAATTATTCCTCTAATGCAGCCAAGGATCCTGTTTTCCCACTCTGCCACAAGGGCACATTGTTGGCTCAGGGACAGCTTGGTGTCACCCAGAGCCCCAGGGCCCTTTGCTGCCAAGCTGCTGTCACCCCCAGCACGTACTGGTGCCTGGGATTATGCCTTCCCTGGTGCAAGACTTGAGCTAAACCTGGGGTCCCAGACTCTCTGTGATCATACAGGAGAGAGAATGATTTACCAGACACTTGTCTCAAACTTCCTGGGCTCTCTTCTCATCTGGCAGAGAAGGCAGGCTCAGATCAGTGGGGGTGACAAGGAGACAGATATTTTGCATTGCTTTTAAGGAATCTCAGCTTCAGGGACTCAAAATCTTGCTCAGAAAGGTTTTTAAGAAAACAAAGTCTTAAACTGAGAGAAAATACCACAAAATCTCTTCCGAGGACAGGTCAGATGCTCTGTGCTGCACAAGCATATTCCTTTTTAAAAGCATGGTGATATTTAGTGACCTAGAGCCATCCAGGAAGCCAGTCCACCTACCAGGCAGTCAAACAGTGGCACTTGTAAAGTCAATCACAATACAAAGCTCCTGCTGACATGCAGCAAGGCAACACAAGTAAAGAGCGACGTGGAGGCCATTTCCTGCACCCAGCCCTGTTAACCTGCACTTGCAACAGCTTTTGATTTCAAAGATATCAGCCCCATGAGTGAGAGCAGCAAAACTGGGACTCAGAGTGGAAAGGAGATGTCAAAGGCTTTAAATCCCAAGACTAATGTGATGGGATTTGTCACTTGTTGTGACTTTTATAGAATAGTGCTTTAACTGATTTAAGTCATCATATTATTGGCTAGATGAGACTATTTCAGACTCAGAGCCACTAGAAACTTCCTTAGTGACCAAAGTGTGGCTAGTCATACATTCCTGTGTTAAGCAGTATCAACATTTGCCTTTGGATGTGGAAGCACTGGATGAAACTTGTTTGTTTGACCAATCTTTTTCCGAGTAGACAAGTGTAGCTTTAGTCTTCCAAGAGTTTGGAGACACTGACCATATACAAGTAGGATGACCACAGTAGACAGGCTGATGGATGGTCCATGGAAGCACATGCTTGGGCAGTGCCTCGAGCCCAAAAGCCAGATGTGAATTCTGCCTCTGCCCTTGCCATGTGGCTGCATCCCTAACTCAAACCTGCCAGCCTCTTCAGCCCTCAGGGCTGAGGAGGACCAAAGGTAATCAGCTCCTTGGGAAACTGGATAGTGCGACAGAGGCATTGCACTTCCCTTAGAGAACAAGTCCTGTGAGGTCCTGCCAGGAGTAGGTGTTCTCCATCTGAGCTTCACCCAGCACCTGAAGGACCAAACCAATCCTACTGCTGCCCCATCCCAACCACCAGCCCCACCACGTCAGCAGGCTGCCTCTTCTGGGAGCTGCTCTTCTGTCCTTCTCTACTTCTCTCATCAATCACTTTCTTCACAAGCACCACAGGGGAGAGGTCAGATTGTTGTGAACAGTGTTAGAAGGCAGGAAACAGGCTAAAACCACACTTCCTCTCTGGAGGCAGGTGCAGGGTGTTGCCAGTGTCAGCAGGGTTACATAGTACAGTAGAAAAAGTCTCAGTCAGGGCTGCTGGGACTAGGTAATATTTAATCAGAAATATAAAATTTGTTTTAGGTGGAATCAGGGAGGGATCACCCACTGCCTTGGTTTCCTTATTTGCACATATACCTATATTAAAACAAAATCAGAATCTGAACCAGACAAACTAATGGCTCAAATCCTAACTCTGCTCCGTTCTGCAGAGACAGTGATTCATTAATATCTCCTTGATCAGCTTAATATACTCACCAAGCATATTAAGGTCAATGCAAAGCCAAAATATTTAGCTAAAACTAAGCGGGTGGTGGCGAAGGACATCCAAACTGCCTTGTGGACACCCCGTGCACAGCAGCCAGGGATGCATTAAAGCCTTCTGGGAAGGCACCAACACTGATGGGGCTTGTGGAGAGGCCCCTTGGGCACATGGCCCCTGGGAGCAGCATTCCAGGGTGCCCGGGCAGGCACAGGGAGGTGGGATGGAGTGCCCAGACCCAGCTGACACTCTCTGCCTCTCCCGTTGCCCGGCACAGATGTCGGTGATGGTTGGCCTGCGCCTGCTGCACACCTCCCTGGAAAGCATTGCCAATCCTGAAGACCCTGAATGCGAGAGTGAAGGGTGGATCCTGGAGAACAGCCTGAAGGACACTTTCAAATCTGCGCTGGAGAACTTGAAAAAGCTGGGTAAGTTCAACCAGGTGGAAGCAGGAGCCGAAGGGGCCGAAGGAGAGGAAGGCGGGAAGACGCCAGCCATCACAACAGTCAGCTGAGCTGCTCGCTGAGGTGGACTTTTTCTCAGAGAAAAATAACACAAACTGAGAATTGTGAATATATCTACATTTGAAAAGCTATGTATCAACCACCTGAATACACATTTCTACGCACGTTCGCTTTTATACACGGGAGCATACAACATAGTGCACCTTGGGATAAAACACTTATCCACCATGTGAGTACACCATATCCAGATCCTTTGGGGAATATGACCCCGACTAGGACTTGTAATATTCACATGTTCCCTTATCAGAGACAGTTAGTTTAGGAAAAAAAAAAAATTAAAAGAAAAAGATTGCTGGCATCACACAGCAATCCATTCCATCTTATTTTGAAATTAAAAGTGGAATTGGAAAAGTTAATTTTTTTTTTTTTTGCTCAAGTTGTTTCATCAGCATACTTTCTGTACTTCAGCTTTTAAGGACAAACAGATTGGGTTTCTGGAGAGTATCATGATAGAATTCAAAGAAAGAAGGATTTCCAGAATTGTATATAACTTAGTATACAGGTATTTTGACAAACCTCTCATATGTGATTTTTGTTAATGTGCTAAGCAATGGTATTTTCTGCTGTATTTTTAAGACATATATAGAACAAGATGCAAACTTGTGCTGAGAATTTATGTTCTAAGCAAAAATTGTAATTTAATGAAGCAGCCAAGCATCATAAAAACAACATTCAGGTAAGACTGATGGGGGTTATTTCTCAGGGGTTTTTGCAGGCTGTATATCTTGAATGCATGTGTTGTAGACTTATGCTTCACCCTGTATTTAAATTCTTTGCAGAAGCTTAGAAGATTCATCTTTTAGTGGGTGGAATCCAGGCTATGAGCATGTGCCAGTTATGGTTACTCTGGACATTTTACAGAGTATGTCATCTCATAACTTGCTCCAGAATATTCAAGCCCAACTATTTTTAAGGCAAGAAAAAGACAAACCCAAATCCAGACCCAAACCCAGGCCAGTTAGAACTCATACTTTAAATGTTTTCCAGGAGCCTAGAAAGTGGACACCATTCATCCACAAGTACATCAAGCCTCATCCTTTCAGACCAGGGAAAACTGAGTTTAAATCAATCCCCAATGTGAAAATTTCACTTTATGAGGGATGGAGTACTTTAAATCAAAGGGAAGGCACATTTTGCATATGCTGCATCTCTCCAAACATAATGTCATAGCTGGAGAATCCTGTTCTCAAGTTGGAATAAAACATGGAAAGAGTTTGCTGTGGCGTGCAGCCTTTAATGAGGGAACAAAGCATCATCTTGAGTTTATTTTGCCAGATAATTTCAGCTAAAGGGAAGGAAACCCTAGAGAACAAGCCCCAGCCCCCTGCACCGAGGATTGCAGAGCCCTCAGTCCCTCCCTGCAAGCCAGGCACCACCCTTTGACCCTGGCTGTGCAAACCCTCTGCTTCTCAGGGTGTACCAGGGAGAGGTTTCTCGGTGGGTCCCTTCTCCCTGGCTGGTGGCCAGCCCTCAAAGGGAGCAGTGTCTGCAGCTGTGTCACCGCTGCACAGCCCCCTGGCTTTCATTCTTAATCACTTGTGCACTTGCCCCAGCAGCACTCAGCTCCTCCAGCTCCTGCCCCAATTCCCTCTAGGATGGACAGACAGTTCAAGGCAGGACAAGTGGGATGTGTCCACGCATCACGCCATAGTTTCCATCTCAGTGCCCAGGCTGTTTCGGGCCACCTCTACACAAGGCTTGATTTGACAGGTGTCTGTGGTGCCCTTTCACCTTCTCAAAGCTGGTCAAAGCTTTCAACTTTAGTTGTGGTCATGAATTTAGTTACAATAATGAGTTAAAAAGTCACTCTCCTCTGCTGTGCGTAAGACTAGGACAAGGGCACTGACAAAAGGCCAACTTGCTATTCACCACAGCCTATCGTCTCTTGCTCTGCCGAGGGACAGAACTGCACCAGCCAGAGCAGCTCCTCCCTGCTCAGCAGGACGTCACTGGGGCCAGCTCCCCTCTCAGCTGGCCATTAGAGAAGAGCAGGGTTGTGCATGGCACACAATGTGGCCACATGTACCAGAAAGAGCTTTTCAGAGGAGTCACATGTGGATAGGAGCTGCGATACAAGGATTCATTACAGTCTCTCCTTGGGAGGCTTCAGCGAGCTGTGATCTATACCAGTTATTTGACTAGACTGACTTGTCAAAGAGATCTAGATTTATTGCTGCCCTAGAAATCTGGCTTAGGCCACTAATTTAGACAGGACTCTCCAATTATTCGTGGTCTCTGTTTTTTATCAGATTATTGCTAAAGCAACATAACAAATTTTCAAGCCATTCTTTCAATGCCACACTGGAGAAGCCAGTTCCCAGAGCAATGGTATCAGGCAGGTAAAGAGACCATCTGAGACAGGTTTATGAAGAACAGTACTGGAACCAGGGAACAAAGAGTACATGGGCTAATGCTGTCTAAAATAAAGCCTCCCAGCTGATGAAGATCTTTGTGACATCTTATGATTACCACAAGATTGTAATATGACTGCTTTGTACAATATTACATGTAATATATCACTTGTCCAATCTTACACATACTTTCTTGTGATACTGCAAATGCTGTTCTAGATAAAGATATTTCTGCTGACTGCAAATGTAAATTTAGGTATTAAAATGTTATTGCAAGTAAAGACCTCTTTAAAGAAAATGTTTAAATATATACGATTTAATACAGATTTCTTTAATTTGCATTACTGTTGACTTTTTCCTTCTGATTTCACTTTTTGGATCTGTTTTACATGTTCCTATATGTGGGAAAGTTTTCCCCACCTCTATATAATGCTCTGAGAGAAAGCAAACCTTCCTCTTTTCACAGCTAAGCTCAGGATGTGCAAGCAGACCCCTAAATCACCGGTCTCCTACTAGAAACAAAATTTGCAGTGCTATTTTAATAGCATCCTCTTGTAGTAGACAGGAATTAGAACATCTTCACAGCCCTGAACGTGATGTTCTGGTCATGCTGAACCAGTGAAACCACTGGCATCCTCAGGGTCTTTGACAATCAGATGGGTTTATAACCCCTTTTTCTCCCCGTTTAAATCTAACTTGCAATGGACATTCAAAAGAACATTGTTCTTATTTTAAGTCTAAAGCTCACAAAGTCAAATCTCCCTGCAGCAATCCGACGACTTCCAGAGCCGTGCCCTGATTTTCAAACTAATAAACTTCAGAAGGATGTGAACTTAATTCATGCAAACCAGGCCACTTCTTTTTAGGTACATCCATATGGATTAGCAGCTTAAATCCAAGTACCCAGACCTCAGAGTCAGCCCAAGGCCTTGAAGCGTCAACTCTGAAGAAATATCACTTTTAAAAGAATGACAAAATGTACGTTATTTTACCAATGACATTTATTTGAAGGGACACAGAACATTGACTAAAGTGCTTTAAAGGAGGAAATATAAACAGCTTCCTTAAAGCTATTAGTTCCTAAGTAGCCTTAATACAATTGATAAGATTAGCCTCCATGCATTACATGGGCTTGGGCATTTGGTAACACCACACAAACACAAGTGTGCAGCTTAGCAAAGAGCATGGGAATGCTATATCGGGCTCACAGGCACCATGGGCCTCCTGGCTGATGGGCTGGGAAGATTTTTTTCAAGGCTGATATAAAGAAAACAAAGCAAAACAGTTCCTGATTTACACCCAACTTGCTTGTTTCGTGAAAGAAGCCAACGCTGCTCTTAGCATAATCAATGGAAAAAGGGGACGGATCACAAATGCTTATTTAAAAAAAAAAAAAAAGAAAGAGCATTATTAGAGATTAGTTAATTAAGAGATAAGGCCAGAAAAATAGAATGGAGCCATGTGATAACAGCCCCCTGTGGGGAAGGCACAGGCTTAGGCAAATTTATTTCTGGCAACAGCAATGCAGCTATCTCAAATCTGAAGTCATGCCTATGTGGACCCTTTTCTGATTTATATCAGACCTATAGTGTTCAGTGACTGACTGAAACACTGAACTAGTAAAACACCTCTCTCAAAGCACCTGCATTTGCTGCTCCCATGTCATTTCACAGGTATTTCTGAATCCAAAGCACAGTTGTGAGGTGGGACAGCTGGAGGAAACCCTGGCCTGGAGCTCAGCTTTGCAGACTCTCCATCACAGTCTCTGCAGCACCCTGCCATGGGGGATACCCCTTTTTACAGTTCCTCCCTAACACTTGGGAGGGCTCCACAGAGGAAGGCTGAGCAGGATTCCCACCTCCTATCCTCCCATCCCATCAGCCCCCCATAAAGCACATGCAAACAACTACTGCCTGGTTGTTTCTACTAAGAGGACAGCCCATAAACCACGAGGAAGTACATGTCCAGCTTGTTCTCACAGCTCTCCAGAGCAAAGGGTGGTGCAGGAATCAGAGAAACCACTCCAACAGTGAAACCAGGACCAAAGGGCAGGTCTGCAGCCTGCCACCAGACTGATGCACACCCCCTGCACCAGGCAGCCAAGTACACATCCCCAGGCAAAACAGGGTCAAGCATTGCAAAGCAGAAGTGAGGAGACTTGGGCATGGGGAACTTGGAAAGGCACAACTGCAGCTGGACGGTGATGAAACAAAGAGAGCACAGCACTGAATCTCAGGCACACAATTCCCCACACTGACTCCCTTGGTAATAGGGTGAAAATGTTTCATTCTAGTTAGACTTTTGTGGGGGGGGTGAAAAAAATCCCCACAGAAGTCACTTTGAAGTCTGCGATGATGCAGAATTTAACAGCAGCACCAAAGACATGCTGTCCTTCCCAGCTGGAGACACACAGAGCCCTTGCTCCAGCCAGGCAGCAGTGTCAGGATACCCAGGCTGGAAGGAGACTCTGGCTGTGTTCATCAGTTCCAGGGCACACACAGTCCCCAAACACAAAGTTTTCCTCTTACAAATCACCTCCTGCCTTCCCAGCCACCCAAATAACCTGTCCAGAGGTGGCACAGCTCTGCCTTAGACAGATGGGTGTGAGTTTTCCCATTTACACATGTTTTCTCCAGTACAAATAATAAACTAAGGTTAAAAATTACAAAAACACAATGGGGACATATCAACAAGGACAAGGTGAATTCACAACTCTGTATGAATGAATCTTTCATTAATGACATAAATTAATCAAGAGCATCAGTAAAATTGATTCTGTAATGTTGCTGTTGGCATATTTAAAGTAAATTCTGACAGTATTTCTTGTTTTCATCCTAGAATGTTAAATGTAATTAGGACTTAAAATTCAAATTTATTCTCTACTTCTCTAAGTTGCTTGTTAAAATTATTTTAGAATATTTTAGATTATTTTTGAGATTAGGTAATATTAGAAATGGATCAAATACATTTCAGGAAACATTTTATTCAGGGAAAAACTTGCAGTGGTATGTTTATAGATTTCAAACAATTACTACCACACCATATCCCTGACTCCAGTGGGAGGAAACAACTTTCTGTCCTGTCCCTCCCTCTTTGCAAGGTGGCACTCGAGCAGGAGTGCTGCTTCCACAGGTCGACATTCCCAGTGCCACACACCCTCCTCAAACACCTCTCAGCCAGGTCCAGGTCTCTGCCACTGGAGAAGGCTTACAAGAAGATCCCAAATCTCTGAGAGCAGGATCCAACCCCTTCCTTGCCCCACCACAAGCACTGCTGCTGCAGCCCTGGGAGCCACGTGCACCTCAGCAGCCCTGCCTGGAGCAGGGTGAGCACCCTGAGCAGCCACTGTGCTCCCACTGTGCTCCAGGGCAGTGAAGCACCCACATGTGGTCTTGGGTTTGCTGTGCTAAATGGATGTGACACCTTTCAATGCCGGGACCCCTGCTCTTCCACATCTGCCCAATGATTTGAAATGCTGCCCACACAGAAGTGTTCATCTCACACAAGCTGGCATTAGAAGCAGTCACCCCCAGCCTCCCAGTTAAACACTGTACTACTGCATGCTCCAAGGGACACACATGTTGCTAGTGTAGAGCATTTACCACTCCATTAAAAAAAAAAACAACTCAGAATTCCTTGTTTTTAGCTCCATCCTGTTCAAGCTGACAGACTGGAGCTTAAAGCCTGTGTTACAAAGTAGTACACAGAAAAAAATCCCACAAAGTTCTTTGTTCAGAGTTCATGCCATGCTCCAAGCTTTCAGCTATTAGAGCTCTTTATGAATTACCACAACCTGACCTGGAAGGAATTATTACACACAGATGAGATACCTGACTAGCTCAACAGCATTAAGTAGATGCTTAGCAATTACTGCAGATTTTTTTTCTTCTTCAAGTGTATTTGGTGTTAAATTGCACGTTCATTCCAAGACTCTGATACAATCACTGCAAAAATACTCCAAGGTTTCTTGGAGCTTGACAGGGAGCAAAGAGCACCGTCCTAATGCAGGCATCTCTAGTTAGAGGACACTAGTGAATTACATCAGTGAACACATTGCTGATCCCCTCGCCCTCGTTATTTTTACATAATCTTCTCTCCTATTCATTAACACACTTTACCATCCTCCACACTTAAGAGTACTGCAAGTACAGAAATATATTTCACACATTGTTCCTCAAATACATGGTTGATTTCAAATCAACACTCAGGTTTTACAAGTCACTAAAATATTCCGCAGTGGTCTGCACAGACACCGTCCCTAACCTGAGCTCAGCTGTCCCACCCTGCCCAGGGCTCTCTACCCAGTCTGGCTTCCCTTCCAGGATCCCACGCAAAGGACAAGCTGGAAAACTTACCACCTCCAAGCTCACGCTGTCTGAAAAGAGACTGTGAAAATATATATTCACAAACTGATGAAAAAGTAACATTTAATCATTGCTGTCATGGAGACGAAGATCAGTACTTGCCATTTCGTAGCTCCTACACCTGGCGCACTGCGAAAGTCCTCATACTCTCCCTCTTCTTTTCTCCTCCAAGAGAGGAGTGCTTGACAAATCTCTCCATCAAAGATGCAAGATTTGGGCATCTAATGTTTGCATGCCAGGAGAGGGGGAAAGGTGGCAGAAGAGCAGGGAAAAAAAAAAAAAAAGAGGATGAATATGCAAAAGACTCAAGATAAAAATATGCAAAGCAGTTTTTATCTGTGGAACAAAGATTTGTAGAAGAAATGTTAAAACTGCCACGAATGAAGTATGAATAGAAATGTACATGTATGAAGCAGCAGAAGAAATAACTGAGCAAGCCTTTAAAGAGCAGCATGTATGGATAATCAAGGGATGTGACTGACAGCAATAAAGTGGGAAGATGCTGAGAAATGTGTTGTTTCCACCCAGCCCAGGAAGCCTGAGCTCCAAATGGCCGTGGTATAGTCGCCTTCTCAGCAGCAGACCCTGCTTTGGCAACGAGAGGGAGAGTGTGCTGTGTGCCATTCCTCTTCACAGTATTATGTACCAGCCAAGGCCCCCCAAACAGGAAAAGACAACAGGCAGCCTTACTTGTGAAGCAGGTGAAGCAGGATACTGAGGCAAAACACAGTCCCACAGGTCCTGCTGAATCCCAAAGGATATAGAAGACATTTCCAAAAGCCTGTCCTCTGTAGCACCTAGTCCTGGCCAGATTGCTTGGACACACATCCCTTGGTGTGAGTGGTGTGTGGGGGTGGCTACAGTGAACTTCAACAAG